TGACCACGCTGACCTTGAATTTCCTAGCTTTGGACTTATTTTCCATGACAGAAAAGACATCTCTTTGTCTAAGCCACTGTTATTTGGGAATTTTGTTATTAGTAGCAGAACATAATTCCTGTATGGTGAGGTTGGAGGCTGGAGTGCGTGTGTGTGTATCTGTGTGTGTTAGAAGGTAGAACAGAGAACAAACGGATTGCGGGTTTGAGGATCTGCATAGCTCTAAAGTCATTTATGAGTTGAAAACGCTGAGAATCCCAGCTGTAGGAAACCCATCTGGATATCTGTGATCAGAAAACCCCATATTATCCAGATGGGTGTCTACAAAGTGCAAATTTATTGAGTGAAGTTTATCCTGCTCTCCCCTGGACCTTGTTGACCTTGACAATGTCTATCTTATAAAGACAGATTTATATTTGACGCCACCAGCAGTTTTTACTGAAGGGGGAAAATATTTTCTTAATTTATTTCAAGTTTAAGATTAATTCTGCAAACATAGATTAAAACACAAAAGGCACTTAAATAAGCATGGTTATTTCTGAAAACATGCAGTGTTATGTGTTCTGTTCACCATTGCTCAGATTTAGGGCTTTGAACACACTAAGAGTTGAGAATGCTCTTTTCTTTTTATTCATGCTATAATGTGTGACAATTATGAAATACCAACTCAGAATACCCTAATGCCCTGAGCAAAGCTTCAACCTTTATTATATTATTTTTTATGTTATTATATTTTTATTGCAGGCTAAAACCATCTCTTTTCATATAGTACCCAGAAAACATGTTTTCTTGGATATGCCATCTGGGCTTCCTGTGTAAACATCTATCTTAAAACATCCAGGGCAGTTAAGAGACTTGTTCATATCTTCATCAGCAATGCCAAATAGCTTTAAAAAAGTCAACAATTGCAGGAAGAAAAGCCTTTGCAATGGCACAGGACATCATCTGCTTTCCACTCCACTCTGTATATAATTCCTGGGGTTTATGAGACTGAAAAAATAATTCCAGTGGAGGCCATCTTTCTAGTTACGTGGCAGCTGCAAATTCAGTTGCTCCAGAAACAATCTAATCTTCAATTTCCCAATTAATGTCTGGATTAATGTACTAACCACTTGTATTTAAAATCCATCTTTGCTGTATTATCAGGATCATGTGCAATGGGCAAGTAGACAGAGGATTTACTGATTTACAAAAACCATTAGCATCTTTGACATTTATTAGGAAGAAAATGACGCTTCAGCTTATTTAATAATTCAATGATAACTTATTTGTATAAGACACACAGAGAGAGAGGCGTTTCAAGGGAACAAATGAGAGGCTTTTTTCTTTTTCTTTTCTTTTCTTTTCTTTTTTTTTTTTTTGAGGTAACATGGAAAATAGCACACAATGCCAAACACAGACCTCCAGGGCAGGTGGGAGGAACCGGGGGAGAAGGGGGGGAATAAGAATTCATTCGAAAGGCTCTCATTTGATGAGAATATGCTAGACTCCCACAACTCATAAGTACTTAATAAAAAATGTAAACATCGATTTGATTTAGGCTCAGCTTCAAAACAGTTGTAAGGCATTAATCAGGAAAGTATATTTAACATTTGTTCCCTTTATACTCTTTTCTTCCCCGATCAAGAACCAAAAGGGCTAAATAGTGTACTCACATGGATGAATGAAAGGCAACTAACTTTGGAAACGTTGCTTAAACTATGCATGCAAACCCCTGATACCTTCCAGCTAACTGGAAAACCATAAGCCAAGGCGGAGAAGTGCTGAGTTCCCGGTGAAGAGGACGGTTTATGGACTGAAGTGGGCAGGCATGTTACAGAGGCAGCCGATGGGGTGGGAGCTGGGAGGCTCTGCAACCTGCAAAAGAGCTGGTGAGGCTGTGTCCTTCAGAAGCCTGTGCACCCACTGAAAGGTGGGCCCCAAATGGCTCGGGTTCTAGAATGTCCCTGGAGATGCCATCACAAGATCCTCAGTGCTAAGGAGACCTACTGCCAATTTTGGCAAATCCATTTTTTTTTTCTGTTGTTCAAGTGAGAAGACCCAGGCCCAGGCCATGAAGAATTAAGTGGCTTTTGAAGCCACAAGCCACAATGGGGCCTGGCCCACTTAGGTCTGAGTTAGAACATGGCTCATAGCATGGGGTTTGCTTGTTTTGAGCCCCAGTCAGCATCCTAAACACAGCAGGTGAAGACCACTGTGCACTTGGAGGGGTGGTCTCTGAAAAGACCCTTCCTGTGTGCTATTCTGGACCAAAACAGGTTGGCATTTTGCTGGCACAGAGTGGGGATATGCCATCATTCTCATAGGCTGGAAGAGTTACATTTCAAAGCTAGAATGAGCAGTTTTCAAATGGGCACAGCACCAAAAAAAAAAAATAGCTGGGCACAGGGTGACAGGTCATTGTGGCCTTTCAGAAATGCAGGCTATTGGTTGTCCTGATGCTCATCCAGCATCCTTCCTAGGGGACCAGGGCACGCAGGCTAAATTCAGCCTTCAAGTGCCTGCGAAGCCTGTCATCCCCAGAGTACTGCTGGGAGAATAAAAGCAGATGAATTTTTAAACAAGAAAATGACTGTGTATGTGTATGTGTGTTTGATAATGGTCCAAGCTTTAATAGCATGGTAAAATATTTATCTAATATTTTTATAGCTAACATGCAATCAATCTGTAATATACTGACAGAATTTAGAAAGATCAAGGTCTACTCAGCCACAGCTAGATGGAACCACTCGACATTACATACATACACACACACATATATCTCAGTTAACGGGAAAAGCACACTCGTGACCAGGTGAGTCACTGCTGAGACCATCCCTCCACCCAAATGGAAGAAGGGAGCTCTGGGTGCACGATGGTTCCTTCCGCAGACCCCCCATTCTTTCCCAAGCCACAGAGGAAAGGGCTGTGGGTGCCCATCTCTCTGGTTTGGGGTTTTAAGAAGTTAATTGTCTTGGCACATTGGCTCATTCAAGTGAATCTCCATTTTGGAGCCCGACCATTCTTGACTTGTTTCACCCCAATCCCCGATCCCTTCACTGAATTTATCAAAGATGTCACGTGAGCGAGGGGCACGATTGAGGGTGGGGTTGGGGACTGAGAAGAAGTATTAAGTAAACATTCGTCATGTAAAGACAAATGAATAGTGATCCTTACTTCTTGGATGTTTTCATAATAAGGCGGGAAGAAGGGCTGGTCGGAGGAAATCTGCAACCACTGAATTCGAGGATGTTAGGCAAGGAAAGGCTTCCAAGACCAGGGTCTCTGTTCCCTGGGAGTGGACGGGGCCACTTAGACGCCAGAGAGAGAGAGAGAGAGAGAGAGAGAGAGAGAGAGAGAGAGAGAGAGAGAGCCACCCTTCTCCTCTCCTCGGGCCGCTGGGGAGCAGATGGAAGGCGCCCAAGAGCAGAGAGGGCTGGAAGGTGTGGAAGGCAGACTGAGGGGCTGTCGCTTTTTGCTCAAAGGCAGTGAGTGAATGCATGGGGAATCCTTGTGCGTTGATGATGGTGAGCGTGAGGGTGTGGGGTTGTGTAAAGTCCAGGTGGATATTAGTAAGGGGGCCCAGAATATAAAAATGGCCATACAAAATTTACCTTTCCTGTTTTCTGTTTGTATATACAGTATGAAACATAGAGATGGTTCAAAGACACCATGACACAAGAATTCTGCGGTTAGTTTTTGACCTACGAAGAATTGGCCTTATCTAAATAAGACATGAACTTGTGCTTTTCTTTTTCTTTTCTCCTTTCTTTTATATAAAATGGTAACTGTTTCCCACAAATGCAAATCATTAGGAGCTTCTTGTGTCACTGATCAATACATCTGTTTTTCATATGGTGGTGAGGGGCCTGAGCATTCAGCCTTCAAGTGCCTGGGAAACCTGAGTCGATTTGGCTGTTGGATTTATCGTCTGGAAAGAAGCAAGGACAGGAGTCTGCTAAGTCGCCGCAGCTGCCTCCAAAGTGACTTACTTCCTAAGTACAAAGCCAGTTAGTTCCCTTCTAGATGACAAATGGGCGTAAATGAAGTGGTAATGTTCTTAATTACCACTGATTAGTGTAATTACCATTCTGATCTGTGCAGGTAAGAAGGACCACGTGATCTCAGCCCAAACTTGAAGCCGGTTTCTCCCCCTCATTTCTGATACCTTTACTAGGCTCGCAAGTTATATTTCTGAGCATTGATGTTTCCTCAGCACAACGTGGAGCAGAGAAGATGGCGCCAAGGGCACCTTCTCCCTGACACTGGCTCCCCGCTATGTGCCATAAATTAACGGCCATCTGGCAACCTGTAAACGTGGAGCAAATTCCACTAAGACTGTGTCAAAAAGTGATGATTAAAGAAAAGAAAAGGCCGGCCCAGTGGCCCGATGGTTAAGAGTTGGCTTGGGATGCCAGCTCTGAGCAGCAGGGCCCCGTTTCGGATCCCACATGAGGGCCAGTGATGCTGCGCCCTCCATAGCTAAGATGGTGAACAACAGCTCCACCTGGAGCTGGGCTGCCGTGAGTCGCCGGCGACGGCGTAGGCTGCAGCCCCTGCTGCAGTGGGCTGCCATAAGCTACCATGAGTGGCCGGCAGCCAGCGTGAGCAGCTGGCAGCTGGTGTGAGCTGTCAAGAGCCACCCTGAACGGCGGTCCAGAGGCCAGCAACCGATCTGCCTCACCTGGGAAGAGCGTAATGTTAATACCAACATGAGCCAGTGAAGTGACGTCCTCCACAACTAGACTGAAGAACAAAAGGACAGCAACTTGTGTGTTCCCCTTCCCCGATTCCCCAATAAAATCTTTAAAAAAAGAAAAAGAAAAGAAAGAAAAAAAACAGATGGAAAGCTCCTCTCCTGTCTGAGACGCCATCCCATACATACCCTACCATTCAAAGGCTGGGTTTGTGGCTATTGGGGGGCCATTCCTTGCTCGGGATGCTTGAGTAGAAAGAAACGCTCAGCAGGCCATCCGGATGATTTCATGTCACTGAAGCTGCTAAGGACAACTGTACACAGATCCAAAATAACAGAGGACGTCATTTTATTGGCTGTCCACAGGCAGTTTGGGCACACAAGGAGGTGAAGGCTGTGGCAGGTATGGTACAACACAATACCTCGGTTAACTATTAAACAGAAGGTTAACTGATTCTTGATATGCTCGAGCTCCCGCAGCCCTCTGCAGCCGGGGCACCTCCTACCCAGGCGTAATGAAGCTGAGTAAACTGGCGAGTGATGGCTTCGTCCGTCAGTCTTGGTTTCTTGCATGGTCTTCCCATGAAACAGCACTTGGAAATTCACAAAATTAAAAGGAAGGAAGGAAGGAAGAACGCAGCACTCCCTTTTGAATACCAACACCACTGGAAACAGACTAGCGTGGCATGCAGATCCACATCTGCTCACTTTTTTCCCTTTAGGTATTTTTTTGTTTTTTAAAAAATTAACAAATGGAATGGCATGTCTATGTCAAATATTAGTAGCATAACACAAGTGCAATTTCAGTCTGGCCGTCACAGGTCTCATAAACCTTCTGCAAGCAGAGCGACCAGGATGGTCCTTTCTGTCCAGCCTCTGAGGGCAGCCCCCCAGGCGCCTCCATCCCCAGGCCCACCCTTCATATCCCAAACGTCTGAAAACAGCTGCTTCTCTATTTTCATTGTTATCAAAGCCATCAGGGTGGGGAAGAAAATTCCAGGAAACGGAGCTGGAAGCATTTGGGTCCTGCTGCTTCTGCCAATTAGAGGAGGGTCCATTTTCCCTCTGGGTGGTCCTTGTGCACAGGACCTGAAGTCATCGTCCCCACCATGGCACTCGGTCATGAGGAAGCTGCTGTGGGGGGCAGCCCCTTGGCCTGCCCCCACGGCCTGCAGTCCCTGCCGGGCCACGCGGTCACACGGAGCTGAGCTTCACCAGGCCACGCACTGAGTCTTCATGCAGAGAGTCCTGGCTGGCCAGGCCCAGGACGTGCATGGTACGGCTGTGGGCCAGGGGGCTGCCCGCCAGCAGCCGGGGCGGCGACGGTGCTTCCTCCGGGGTCAGGAACTGGTGGCCCACGTGCTCCTCTTTCAGGGGCAGTATGTCCGTGAGCCCAGCCTCGGTGGTGAGGTTGGGCATGGAGGAGGGTGGTGTGGGCTGCCCGAGCGTCAGGCTGGCACAGGGCGTGCCCAGGCCCGGCTTCCCTGGCAGGTGCAGCTCGTCGCTGGTGAGGCTGGGCTCGCTCTGCAGCAGGGGCGTGGCCGCGGCCTGCAAAACGAATTTGGTGCTCTGAATGCACTGGTCTTGGTCACACTGGAGAGCAGGAGGGAGCCGGCAAAGAAAGACAAGAGAGATGAAATGGCGAGGGGTGGGGAGGAAACAGGGCACAGGGACAGGGGGAGGGCCGGATGTGAGAAAGAGAGAGAGAGAGAAAAAAAAAGAGAGAAAGAGAGAGAGAGAGAGAGAGAAACCCATTAGTGACACCACAGTCAGCCAGGGGAAGAGAGCGTGCACAGTAGCCCGGTTTCACTTGGAGACACGCAGCATGCAGTAAATACCAACGCCTGGCACCTAAAACATCTGCTCCAGCTCAGAGTCCCCACGGGCACCCAGGGGGTCACATGCAGCCTCAGGCTGCCATGGTCCAGACAGGACGTCATTTTAAAACAACGCCATGGACAGTCACAGGCTGGCCATTTGCAGCAGTGTGAGGCAGCCATTTCTTGTAAGCTGAAAAATACTTTTACTATATTGTTTTAAAAACACAGGGTCTGTCCACCCATGTTCATAGCAACATTAGTCACAATGGCCAAAGGTGGAAGGAACCCACATGTGCATCAACTGATGAATGAATAAAAAAAACATGGCGTGTACAGGCGATGGACTATTACTGAGCCGTAAAAAGGAAGGGCGTTATGCCGCCTGCTAGGACACAGATGAATCCTGAGGACAGCATGCTACGTGAAATAAGCCAGATGCACATGGACCAAAACTATATGTTCCCACGTCTAAGAGGCACCTAGCATAGTCAAATTCACACAGGTAGAAGGGTGTTTGCCAGGGTCTAAGAGGAGGGCGGATGTGGAATTATTGGGTAATATATGGAGTTTCAGTTTTGCAGGATGAAAAGAGCTCTGGAGATGAATGGTAGTGATGGCTGCACAACAATGTGACACTTAATACCACTGAACTGTACACTTAAAAATGGTTAAAATGATAAATTTTACATTATGTATATTTTCCCACAAAAAAAGAAAGGGAGAAAGAAAGAAAGAAAGAAAGAAAGGAAGGAAGGAAGGAAGGAAGGAAGGAAGGAAGGAAGGAAGGAAGGAAGGAAGGAAGAAAGAAAGAAAGAAAGAAAGAAAGAAAGAAAGAA